CGGGAGACGAAGCGAGCGTGTCGTGTCTGCACCAAATAGTATCTTGAGGTTGGGTTCACAATCGCAGCGCTTGCTCTTGTAGAACAATTGTCCAGGTACGGGCTGATACATGGTTGGGGGTACCTTGCCTCGGAGAGTGTCGGTCATGGTCATGTGACCTCGCGATCCGCTCCACGCGACTTCACGCGTCTAAAGTTCATTGACATCACTTCATTCTCTACACCCACACTAGGATTGCATATACCTTCCCAAAACCCCAGCACGAACAGCCATGGCTGGCGCAGAATCCTCCAACGACGCTGCCACCTACGGCACCGCCTCCAAAGTCCAGACATCCACCACCCACGACCTCCCCTGGGTCGAGAAGTACCGGCCCGTCTTCCTCGATGATATAGTAGGCAACACCGAGACGATCGAGCGTCTCAAGATCATCGCCAAGGATGGCAACATGCCTCATGTCATCATCAGCGGCATGCCCGGCATAGGCAAAACCACGTCAGTCCTCTGTCTTGCCAGGCAATTGCTCGGCGATGCCTATAAGGAAGCCGTGCTGGAGCTGAACGCTAGTGATGAGCGCGGGATTGATGTTGTGAGGAACCGCATCAAGGGCTTCGCGCAGAAGAAAGTCACGCTGCCAGCGGGGCGGCAGAAGTTGGTCATACTGGACGAGGCGGACAGCATGACCGCTGGTGCTCAGCAGGCGCTGCGGAGGACTATGGAGATCTACAGCGGCACCACACGGTTCGCATTCGCATGCAATCAGAGCAACAAAATCATCGAGCCTTTGCAATCTCGCTGCGCCATCTTGCGGTATGCAAGACTCACGGACGGGCAAGTGGTGAAGCGACTGTATCAGATCTGCGAGGCGGAGAAGGTCGAGTACTCGGATGACGGGATCGCTGCGCTGGTGTTCAGTGCAGAAGGGGACATGAGACAGGCGATCAACAATCTGCAGTCTACGCATGCTGGGTTTGGCTTCGTGAGTGGAGACAATGTGTTCAAGGTTGTTGATTCGCCGCATCCGGTCAAAGTGCAGGCTATGGTCAAGGCGTGTCAGGAGACGAAGGTGGATGATGCGTTGGATGGGTTGAAGGAGCTGTGGTATGTTGTCATTGCTTTGCTTGAAGGATAAGACGATGTTGTGCTGACTTGCTATGCAGGAACCTGGGCTACTCTTCACACGACATCATCAGCACCATGTTCAGAGTCACGAAGTCGCTGCCTTCGCTCAGCGAGCACACGAAGCTGGAGTTCATTCGCGAGATCGGCTTTACGCATATGCGCATACTGGAGGGGATGCAGACCTACCTGCAACTTGCTGGGTGCATTGCGAAGCTGTGCAAGCTAAGCATGAAGCCAAGCTTGTTCATTGTGCCGAAGAGCTGAGAGTGCAATTGGTAGAGCAACGACAATGTGCGGTTCAGCGAAGGCGTTGGCGGAAGTGTATACAAGGTACCTGATTCAACGACATTCATCCCAGATCAGTCACGATGTGACAGTACGCGTACCGCGACTCGACGAGTTGACCTGCTTCATGTCTGGCCGTGGTCAAAAAAAAGTCTGATCGACTGTTCAGTAAGTGCAACTTCCCGATTGATGAAGGCGTGCTGAGAGACGAGACCGAATTTCATGTGCGATACCAGCCATCCCTTCGACCACAGGCCGCGATATTTGTATTACGGGCATGTTCGGGTAGCGCAGCTTTTGGACTCAGCTGTAGCAGGCGCTGCAGCGAGCAATACGGGGTGCCTGGCATATGAGGTTGCATTCATGGGTGTGAGGAGTGATACGCTCGCTCTGGCCGGGGGCTATGGGATCACACAGCCGAGCGCCGATCAGCGTCTTTGATAATGTGCAGCAGGCGAGGCGGTCTAGAGAAGCGTTCTTGAGGAGTTGCTGGTAAGTGCATGGCCGACATCACCCCTGGGTCGCTCCTTCCTCGACTACTCCCACCCCAGTGTTGCGGGACGCAATCTCCGCGGACTTTGCAGGCTCTGCAGCCAACACATTTCTTCGAACACAACATCCCCGCCGTCACATTTTCCGTTTATACATCGCTTTCAACATGGACAAGCACCTCGATCAGCAACTTGTCGAGCTCATGGGTCGTTTGCAGGTGGTGGTGGAACCGCCCGAGGTTCTTGACGAGCTCGTGGGGAGGGTTGGCAAGATCCAGGCTGCAGTCTGTCGTGAGCGCGAGGCTGGGAGTATGACCCCAGGCCGGCCGAAGCGCACCGCTGAGTTTGCAGTTACCAATCCAACCGCATCCGCCAAGAAGGTCAAGATCGAGGAGACCGCCAACCCGTCAACGCCCGCCTTGATCCCGGCCGGAGAACCCCAGCATCCGGCGCCAGCCATACAGCGCCCACAAGAAGGTCCGGTGCGCCTATCACCAGCAGTCAGCCCCCCGGCACAAGAGCAAGCGCCCCCGGCCCCTCTCCACACCCCCACCACGGTTCCCGCCACATCCCCGGTGCAACAACAAGCACGCCCAAACCCTCCCCGTACCCCCGCTTCCACCTCCGACGACCTCCCGCCTAAGCCCCGCATGCCCCAATGCAACCACTGCACAGCCAATGGCCTCAACTGCGACCATAAGGCACACTGCAAATGGTGCAAAGGCATCAGGTGTATCTACATCGAGTGCCCCGTAGCGCAGTGCCCGGATGTCACCTGCCAGCTGATGGATCCAGATCAGTGGATTGGGCGGCATAGGAGGAAGGAGGGTGAGGTTCGCTGGCTGGTGGAAGGCGTCAATGTGAGTCGGAAGAAGTTCAACTACGATGAGGAGAAGTGGTCGGATGAGACTTGGGCGGAGTTGCGTGTAAGTTTAGATGTTTTCTGGAGATTCATGGGCTTTGCTGACATGCTTGTAGCCGGAGGGGTGGAACTAGCTGATAGTTTCGGGTTGTCGTGGCGTGTGTGTGTGGACATTCTGGATAAGGGCGGACAAAGATAGGCAGTGGGATGACAGCTTCGTTGGTCAGCCTCCCAGTGGCCTCTCTGTGTAGTAATGGTGTAGCTTTTGTACATCCTGAAGTACATGACAATACCTTTCTCCAGTTTACCTACCTACTGAGAGAGGATTGCAACAAGGGCCTCACATATTCGATTCTGCCCATCTATGTCCAACTGTCACGATGGATATACATACCTCGAGTTGCGGTTCAGGAGCAGACGATAGCAGCGGAGGGTAATTTGCACTCACCAGTGAGAGGTCAAACACCATGTCGAAAGAGAGCGCGCATCGCTTACAGAGTGCACTTGCCCAGGAGGAGACAAGGTACATGCATCAGTAAGTGAAGCATTACATAGCCACGTCAACCGCGAACTCACGCATAGGTTCGTAGCTTAAGATTAAAGCGCTCAGTGGTTTGACGGAATGGGGTTGAGTACGAATGTTGGCCGCATTTGGTACGTCCCGGCCCGTGGGCATTGAGAGATGTCGGTTTCGAATCCGACCGGTTCGGAGACCCTGTAATCGATTACCTTTTTGGTTTCTCACTTCATTCACTTTTGCTTCATTGCTGCAGACGCCAAGCATGGGGCGTGAGCGCACTCGGATCGGCGTTCATGGCTTGGAGAGGCGCTTGGAGCTTGACACTGATCCTGTCCTTGATGAAATTGACGTCGCCGTTGTATGTGGAAAAGAGCTGCCGCCTTGTCCTTCCACTAGTCAGTATGCAGGTCGCTCGAGTCCTTGCTGAAGTCGAGACTATGAGGGTGGGCGCAGATCAGTATGCAGCGCATGCGCCGAGATTGACGACGGCGACAAGATAACGCCATGAGAAACAGGGGCAGGTGAAGCTCAAGCCAATTTCCACCTCGTCACCGCCCGCGCGGATCTTAGCGGACTCGCCTAAACTCTCGCACGCAGCGTCAGGCCGCCCGCAGGAGCAGTCAGTGCAGTGGCCGCTAGTCTCTGCTCGCCCAGTCGCCATCGAGCTGCTTCTCGGACCTGTACCGGCTGATGTTGACCCGCCTAGCTCTCGCCCAGGCACCGGCCGTTTCTCGACTGCCACCCAAAGACTACCAACCTCGTCGGGCGCCCTGCGCGGGCCCGGTCCTCAATGTATCTGGTGCGTTGTCAAAGGCTATCGCTGCGATTGAACTGCCCAGTCCCGCAACACCAGGAACAGAGACTGTGTACATCCTGAACCACTAGCTCCGCGATTGCCCGTGTCGTGGCTGGATCATGACGCACGGCGATCAGTACAATCGGGACAGCCAGAAAGTAGAGGCTAGTCCGCGCTGGTGCGTGGAGGGCGATACAATCCGCTACAACCATCCGAATTGGAGGTACCAAGGTGTCCTGCGTCATGCTGAGATGAGATTGAAGGTATGTAGTGGCCCTAATGGGAAGCTCGGAATTGTCTACAGAACCATGCTGACAGGTACCCAGCGCTAGTATCCATGCGTAGCAGTAAGGTCGTGAGAGCCGGGTGCGCTTCATGGATGCGTTGGGGGCGTTTGGGCCATCGCAGGTGCAGCCTTTTGGAATACTACATTCACCCGATGCTAAAGTCCTATCACCTGAGTACCGTTCAGGAGCTAGGCGAAGAGAATCCGCAGCTGGCTTGCAGCACATCAAGGGCCTTGTAATTCTAGTATACTGGGGCGATATTGGCGATTGCTCTGAGCGAGAGCGCGCCAGTCACACAGCCGCTTCAACTTCTGCGGGCGTTCGCGCAGCAGCACGCAGGGCGTAGTCAGTTCCGTAGATCTGTGTACTGCGCCTGTGCAATGCAGTATCGCCAGCCAGGTAGATCCCAATATGCGCATCACATCGTCTCCTTGTGAGGTATCCCAAGCTTGCAGAACGAGGGGCGACATGCGAAGGAGAGTCTTCTTACTAACGTGCAAGGCTGACAGACAAGCACACCATGGTGCGCATCAGCAGAGCTAGCGAAATGATCGAGAAGCACAGTAGTGACCGTGTCAAGTCACGTGTGCGTCGAAGTGCTCTACTATATATATGGTATGCACGGAGACTGCTGCATGGGTACGTAGCTTAACAGTAAAGCACTCAGTGGCCAAGGTGGTTAGAGTCGCGTGCAGAATGTGGGACGCCGCAACTGCTCGTCCTGACTAGAAGCACCTGAGAGATCGCCGGTTCGAGCCCGGCCGATGTCAACAGCCCTGTGACGATCACTCTTTTTTTCGTTCTGTTCCCTTACTTCAACTTTTGCTGCGGCTATGCTCGTCATGACTCGCGCGCTATATGGCGCCAGAAGCAATAAGGTGCATGTGTAGCTGTGATATTGTCGTGGTGTTGTGGTGTTGGTGCGATATGAGCATTTTGTAACGCCAAGAGATATCGAGTGTCGTTCGTACTTTCCCTGACCACAAAGAAGCGGAGGTCCAGACGTAGCCGGCCTCTTTGAATCATGCGGCCACCTCGAAACACTTGAACCCTCACCGAAGACCAAAACACGAAGCCATCTACAACATGGCAGACCAAGTCGACGCCAACTTAGAAGAGCTTCTTCGTGCAGTCGTGGAGCAGAAAGGGGAGGATCACCTACTTTACCTGATTGTGAAGATCCGTATCGCCCTCAAAGACGAACGCGCCGACACTGCACGTCAATGGGACGCCGAGACCGACTATGCGCTGCGCCAGGAGCAGCTCATGATCAACTGCGCCGAAGACGATGGCAGGGAGCTCACTGAGGACTGCGACGATCTAGCGCTTGAGAATGCGCAGCTCCGGGGGAAGTTGGAGGCGCTTCAGATGATAAGCTCCGCGGAGGAGTATTCGACGGAGTTGAGCGCTCGTTTGGCGATGGCGGCTCAGGAGAGAGTTGCCATGTGCATAGAAGCTTGATTCTGTGGCGTTGCGAGCGAAGCTGATGTTTCCGAAGGGTGAGATCTGCATGGCATATACAGACGACCGCGAGTATGGAGGCGCCGAGGCGGATGATGGCAAGCTTGAGGATGATGGATCGGACGAGGACGAGATTCTCGAAGACGGGCTGGCCTCCCTGAAAGAAGTGTGTATCATCATGCAACAGGGTGATATCGCATGGAGCGACGACGACATGGCGCAGCTACTCGGACTGACTACGTCCATGCCAGTGGCAAAAGATGCAAGCAGTCTTCGTCAGGTAAGCCAGTGCGAGATTGATCGGACCCCAGTCTCTCGAGCATCACCAGCGCAAGATCGAGATCGCGATCCTGATACGCAAGCGGGCACGGTCTCCCGCAAGTCTCACACCTTCAAGGAAGCGAGCCTGCCAAGAACGCCCTGTGGAGATAATCGATCTCACATTCGAGGATGACAGCGGCTCTTTGCGAGTGGCGATGACTCTACCGATGCGAAGCAAAGATGATTGGTGAGGAAGATAGCCAGACCAGAAGGCGATCTGATCATTTCTGGGCCTTTGGATGCTTGCTTAGTTGGTGTTCCCCTGCCTTGTCAGCGCTTACAGCCAACGAATCAGGTGTCTTGGGCAGAGGGTCTGAAGGCAAGTGAGCTGCCATCTGAGCGTGACCCGGATGAAGGTGTTGAGCGGAACGAAAGGAGACAACATGTACGGAGCGAGGGCTTTGTGCTGCATTACTACGCATGATGAATTGTACCGGAGGCGGTGTCATTGCAGTCAGGCGCTTTACAGGCGGCGGCGTAGTGGATACAGAAATCAAACATTACGAGTGATCCGGAGCCCAAGCGTTGCAGATTTCATCGCCATCGTGAGTGCAATTAGAGACCATTCGGGTGCGCGTCATAGCCACCTTTGCAGCACATGGCCAGCGAGCGATAGTGCTGAAGTCGAGTATGAGCCATAGTGATAGGCAAAGTCACATGGAAAATTTGCCAGTCCCTCCTAGTTATCGCAGTGGTCAGCCTGCATGCCAGCCCGGTGCACCGCACTGCCACCCAGCTTAGCTCGTACGGCAGCTCGAGGCTGCGATTTCGAGGCTTGGCACGCTCGCGAGTGCCACGCCCTTTTTCTTCGCAGCTCAGCAGCTTGTTGCCGCAGTGTCAAGCTACCAATGGCGAAGATCAGAACTAGTCCAGACACATGTAGCGCATGCTAGAAGCAGCTCTATCGAGCGCGATCGGTGTACCCACGAGCGATAGAAGACGATCTTTGCTAATTGCAATAGCATGTTCAGACGTAACAAGTCTGACTTTCAGCAGGACCGGACGATGTGCAGTGTCGATCGTTCCTTCCCGAACTGATTTCCAGTGTTGCAGACCACTGCATCGTCACTGCTGGTTCGAACATGAAGCCAGCGAGGCCAGCGTATGTGCTTCGAGTTGAGGCGAGGTAGCGTAGTGCGTTGCTGGCCTTTGTAATCTGGCATTACCTGTACAATTCCGTTGTGGTGAACACTCGAAGTGAAGTTCTATCTCTTGCGTACCTTCCTTACTAGAGCTTTGTCGATCGGGCAACCGAGTCAAACGGATCTCAATTTCTCATCGAACCTCACAACACTTCCCACCCCACATTGAAGGTGGACGGACTTCGACGATGGCGGACGACATACGCGACCGCTGGATCGATGCATTCACAACACTCGAGGCTCATGGATTCACTGATGGCGCGCAGCCGCTGGAAGGTGCTTTCATCGCCGTCTTCAGAGCTGTAGAGCAGCACCTTGCCGGCCTCAACTTCGAATTGCATTCTACCCGCTCTGCTGCAGCCCTGGAAGTCAAGCGTGTGCGTATTGACGCTATCACTGATGTGCAGCGTGTGCGTGATGCTGCCGAGAGGGAGATCCAGCGCGTTCGTGCGCTCTACACTGGTGTCGGATCTGAGCAAGCGCAGCTCGAGGTGAAGCGTCATCAGTGTCAAGGAGACGACGTGTACTCTGACGACGAGTCGTTACTATTCATGCCACAGTCACCGCACGCATGTGAAACGCAAGCCAAGGTATGAGATGATGATGCTGTCGCTCCATTGTTTCAGTGAAGCTGATCTCTATGCAGAGTGACGAAGCAACAGCCGACGAGGAGGCTGAGTTGGACGCTAGAGTGGAGTCGCTCTTCGTCGATGAGGAAAGCGATGTTGTCTCGGTAGGTACAATGAGCTTAGAGCTGAACAAGAGCGGTTTGCTGACATCTGCAAGCTCTGAAAGAACCGCTTGCTGCTTCATCCGGTAATACAACTGCTGCATCATGCGCGCCACAGTCAGTGGACGCAGCAAAGGTGCGCCGATATGAGGAATAGCGACCTAAAGGTACCGTGACTGACTCTGCTCAGGGCATTGAGTTTTCAGTCAAGATCTCCCTGGTGGCAAAGTCAGCTGTCAAGCTTAGGGATGCGCCGATTGCATCGTCGGAGGCACCGAAGGCATGTTCGTGACAAAGCACGACGTCGTATATGATGAATGCCCTGCTGACATTGTTCAGTCCGCGGAAGGCTCGAAGAAGAGCTTGTCGGAGGTCAGATCCGCAGCGCTGATCTCGCAGGCACCAGCGACGCCGCCAGTAGGAAAGGCCCAGAAGGTATGCGAGCGAGTGTGCGCATACTCGATATTGATCGTTGCTGACTGAGACCAGCCGCTTGCGCCAGAGCATACGAAGAAAGCGCCTGTGGCTAAGAGGACGAGCACGGCGAACCAGGCTTCGACCCGCGCCAAGCGCCGCAAAACCTCGCGACCGGCCAATCCCGCTGAAGCGCCCACGGTTGTGCCAGGACAGAAGCGCACGCTGCCAGAGGAGACCGAGGACTTACTAGCTCCGAGAACGCTGAGCGTCTACGATATGAAGGCATCTCGTAAGCCCAAAGGCTGGCCAGCCTCCGCCCCTAGCGCCCAAGGCTCGGCAGCTATCACGTCGGTGTCAAACACTGCGTTGCAGGAAGTCGCCCGCAAGCCGCAGTGTCTATGCTGTCTTCTGGCAAAGCACGACTGCGATGGCACGGTGCGCTGCCAATTTTGCAGGCACACAAAGTGCATTTACCTGCTGTGCGAGCTAACGAAGTGTCGCGGCACGACCTGCTTCTTGATCCACCCTGGCCAGTACGAGAAGGATACACAAGAGGGGAAAGAGGTGTGGAAGGCCTTGGGTGGGACAATGGGTCAGAATGAGTTGCCGGAGAAGGACCAGGATAGCGTGGACAAGATTCGTGAGAGCCTCGGGGTAAGTCATCCCAACCATGATCCCTCATTCGCGAGCAGTGCTGACCCAAATGACTAGATGAAGAAGCTAGTTGCTGCAGACCTGGGAGGCAGGCATGGGAAGTGGTTCCAAAAAGACAACAGGCCGCAGGGAGGTAGGCGTAGGGTATACCAGTACTAGTCCAGGAAGCTTATCGAGCGCTGTTCGACCACATTGTATCACGCTGCCTGCAAAGTCCAGTAGAGTGTAGCAGCAAACGCGGGGTTTGCGATGTTGCTGAAAAGTGGTATATGTAGAACTTTGCCGCAATATGTGCAATCGTGCGTATAGCTCAACGGGAAAAAGAGTGCTAAGGGATCGCTATTGCGGAAGGTGGGCTGACGAGTCCCCCAAGGTTCCTGCAGGACGCTGCTTGAACCAGCCCCTACCCTAGCCCCTTGGTTGGCCTGGGTTCGAGTCACAGTATGCGCGAGCATCTTTTTGTACTCCAGCAAACAATATGCGAGCCCGAGTAGTATGTTTTGCGCACCATGATGGACCGGTAGCGTCAACGTAGAATTGCCAGGTCGCGAGTTTCGAACCCTGCATTTGTCACGCGGGCCGCGCCGTTGCAGGCCTTAGCGACAATTTCGTAGCCCCGCCCTTACCAACTGCTCACCGCTCGCCACTCTAATACTGTCATCGGGGTCAAAGTTGTCGATATGACGGAAGTCGTGCAGGGTCTTCTCAAGCTCACCGTCATCGCTGAACGCTTGGGAGAAGCAGGCAAGGAGAGCCTCGCAGCGATTCAGGAAGTCACTGCCGCATACTCTCGGGAGCAAGAGGCTGTGATGGAGCGCCTCACAGCGATCCAGGAAGTCAGTGCCGCATACACTTGCGAGGAAGAGGCCATCAAAGCCAAGTGGTCGAAGGCATTCATCGAAGAGGACCCGCGTGCGATTTTCGAGAGAGAAGCTCTAGTCAAGGTCTGTCCATCGCCGCCGATAACCTGACAATCACTGACTATCTCATAGATGAGAATCAGAGAGCCCATGCAGCAATGGCGCATATCATTGGACCACGAACCCAC